GGTGCTCCTAAAAATTTCATAGTCGCACGCAGTAGTTTTCTGTCGCAAATGCAACTGAAATAGTCGCACTGTAGAGCCCTGCATCTAAACTTTTCTAAAGACAGCAAGTTCCCCTCAGACATGGATTCATAAACTACCCCTAAATGAATCGCGATTTGTTTAGCATCTCAACCGATTTGAATCGTCACATATTTTAATCGATTTTCAACCGGCTCGCGGTTAATCGTTACATCCCTACAAACTGGTAGACTTGTCATTCAACTCTCCTCACAGCCAGAAAATAATGCATATAAAAAGGTTATACCAAAAAAAAATTGTAATATCAAATTTCAACAAAAGTATGATTCCACAAGCTTTTACATAAGCATGAATATTTGGTTAATTATGTTTAAAAAAAAAAAAACGTGATAACTGACATTTATTTGTATTTGACTAAAGAACTGAACATAATAGCCCACATCTTTGTTATGAGAAACAGTGAATCACCCGGACAGTGGTGTCTTCTGAGGATGTGATGAGGGTTTCACCATCATCAGTGAACTGACAGTGGTGAACCGTCCTAGTATGACCTGTGAGCATCTGTGATGTTTTTCCAGATGGAACCTCCAACACCTTCAGACAGACAGACAACGTAAAACTTTGTTCAAATTCAACTAACTTTTCGTTTTATTTACATTTACTTGATTGTGTACAATTATTTTGCATAGCTCTACTGAAAAAAAATAAATAAATAACCCTTTAAAAAGTGAGAAAATAAATATTGTGACCAAATAATAAGAAAAAAAATGTGACTGCAAAATGTTCAGCAAACCGTTACATCTTTTGGGGGGGCGGGGCAACAACATTACCAAAAAAAAAAAAACCTTTCAGTAATGAATGCATTATCTAAAAGACTCATAAATATATCGATTTAAATAAACATTATAAATATATAGGCCTGAACTACTAATGACACTCATATACAGCTGTAATCTCAAACTTCAGCAGTAATACATCATGTAAATGTGATTAAGATAAAGTGCACACTTAAAGATGGGTTACTTTGCCCTTCTGTGTCTGGCATTCAGAAAAGCCAGACTGACTATCGGCCCTCTCTGCTGCATCTAAATCTTCAAAACACAAACTTCAAAAGCTGCCTGGGGCTATGGGAGCGTGAGCTGTGTTTTTGGAAAGCAAATAAGAGGTATTTTTGCTTGCGGGGCTGGTGTTCCGGTCTTGCATGCGCATGATCAAATGCAGTGAAAATGCAGATTTTGCAAGTCGAGAATAAATGTGTACAGAACTGTCAGCTCTGAAGTTACACGATTCTTCTGAAATCAGTCTAATATGCTGATTTGGTGCTCAAATCATTTCTTAATGATGAAAACAGCTGTGCTGCTTAATATTGTTGTGAAATCTTAAGCTTTTTTTCAGAATTCTTTGGAAAGTTCAACAGCATTATTTCAAATAGATCTTTTGAAACACTAAAGAAAAGGTCACAAGTAAAACCGCTGTAAGTGTGAACAGCCTGTAACATTTCACATACTTGCCTCTTACTGTACCTGCACTGTACCTGTCTCTAGCCCTAGTGCCAGCACAAAATCACGCTGTAAGTTCAGCAGCTGCAAGGCTCTCCATCCAACGTTCTTCAGAAACTGTCTAACTTTCACTCTTCCTGTCTGCGCACACATATACACAAACAAATACCTCCCTCTCTCAATTTTTCCACTCACTTCAATAATGCCAGGGCTCTCCTTAGTGGAAAAAAAAAAAAACACATGCAAGAAACTGCATTTACTGAAAGACGATTGCTTCAGTAGTGAGCTGTTCACATCTGCCATGTTCTGAACAAGTCCAGTAACAATCTGGTGCCCTCTGGTGTTTCATAATGTTACCAACATTACTGCAGATGAAGGAAAGCCTTATATGCATTAGAAAAAAAAAAAAGCTGCAAATCACTTTATAAAATGTTATATCAAACATTGTTTAAAAAGGTTTCAGTTAAAATGCGCAGCTCTATCAAAACCACAATTACAACAAAAATAATTCCATTAGTTTAAAAAAAATTACACTAACAAAATGCATATTTAAATTGAAAAAAACATGTTGTAATTGTCTGTGGTAAACAGTATGTCACTGGCTTCATTTGTACTAAACCGGGTACATTGTTTACAGTTTTATTCATTTTAAATTCATTTTATCACTTTTCTAAATCCATCTGTCCATCTCCCTTTCAGGTGAACACACAATCAGGCAGAGATGGAGAGGAGCAATCTAAATAAATGGTTATTGGGCAGTAAACAGGTGTAATGCAAGATTGAGAGAACACCGCTTATTTTATCAGTCAGCTGTTACCTCTAGGCGTCCCCGTTGTCCCCGGTGCACCAGTCACATCTATTACACTACAGTACACACTGTGCAACACAGGAGGACAACGCTCGCCTCTAGCACGACGACATTCAGTAGAGAGAGAAGGGAAGGGACGGGTTTGGGAAAAGAAGGGCGAGAGATTAGAGGGCTGAGTGCAGTTGACAGCCATGGCAAATCTCATTGCCGGAGGTGAGTCAAAACACCCACAAGCATCCTGAAGGCTATTTTTACCCAGAGTGCTTTGCATGCTCATCCAAAAACCCAAGAAATTGAGTAGAACATTAGGAAGAGAGCACTGGTGATGACGATACCCCACAGGTGAGCTGAAATACCTGTACAGTTCCGTTCTCAGTTCCCAGGGCCACAAGCGAAGCATTTCTGCTGATGCAAGTACAGCGAATCCTGGACGGCAACTCTTCGCTCTCAAACACAACGGCACCTGCCAATCCAGTCCGTACCTGATGGCAGAGTTAGATGTCATATATGCATGCAATCAACCAAAAAACAGCAGCAAGCCAACACTAGACGCGCAGGTCTCTGGTGGACCGTACCTGTAATCTGTTTCTGCTGTCTGGTGCCACTATTGTAACGTCACTTTGGGAGAAGAGAACATCAGAATCCCTCTTCAGAGCCGCAGCAGAGGAGGTGTGAACCCGATCAGTCTCCCACAGCTAGACAAGCGTTAACACTTCTTTTGATAACAGGTCAATACTGTTCAAACAATAACTGCAAAAAAAACTGTCACACTTCAGGAAGAGAGGGACCAAAGCTAGCTTACCCTGATGGTCTGATCATCAGAGGAGGACAACAGGAATGAGCCGTCAGGTGAAAACTGGACACAATGAACCCAGCTCAGGTGACCATTGCATTCGGCTTTCTTTTTACTGGTCTCAAAGTTCCACAACTTGGGGGGAAAAAAAACAAAAAACAGAATTACCTTGTTTTACATTGTTCATTCTTAACTGTGGTAATTCAGTTTTGAGATTTCTCACTGTACATTGGTAAACCCTACGTTAACATTCTTATTTGCATATGTATGAGGCCAATAACATTGATTGGACAAGGGCAGAACACATTCAACTTTGTCTGCATGTCCTGTAAACTTCTCATGTAAATCTGCACTGGCTGTTTAAAACATACACACTTCTGTTCACGTTTGGGGTTAGTAAGATTCTTAAAGTAACTAACTTTTATCCAGCAATAAAATTGATCAAATGACAAAAAACGCTCGTTACCAATGATTTTCAAATCAATATAGTACTTTTGAACTACATTTTGAAATTTCTATTTAAAACCACTAACAAGATTCATGTTTTCTACAAAATAATCAGCACAAATTTTCTCAACATATTTAGCATCAAATCAGAATTGTACAATGATTTCTGAAGGATCATGTGACATTGAAGACTGGAGTAATGCCTGCTGAAAATTCAGCTTTGTCAAGGGAATAAGTTACATTTAAAAATATTTGAAATATTTAACACTGTTTTTACTGTAATTTTTGATCAAATAAATACAGCTTTGATGAGAAGAGACTTTTCAAAACAATTTTACCGACTTCAAACTTTTGAACAGTGGTTTATTATGAAGACACTTAAACCCCTCAGTTGTGTTACAGAATCTATAACACAACTAAGGGGTTACAGCAGGTGCAATGGTTTAAGTGAATTTCAACTGAATATTAAAGATTTTGGTCTTTTGGTCACACAAAGTTATTGTATAGAAACAAAAACGCGAACCCAGAGTTAAGCAAGGTGGCGAAATATTTGGAAATGCTGTCTACAGAGTAAAAACTATTTTCACTTCATGGTGTGCTGTACCTCTACAGTGTAATGAGAGAGTGCAACGGCCAGCAGGCTGCTGTTGGGACATGCGTGACAGTACTGCACTGTGCTCAGACGACTCGTCTTCATCTCCAACAACATGTCTGACGTCTTCACGTCAAACACCTACATGCATACAACACAGACGATATACAAAGTTAACACACAAACCATGAGCACAGGGGAAGCAGGAATAACCACACGTATTAAAAAAAAAAAGTCTTCCAACAACTTTAGTAGAAAACTGATTTTATGAATTCTTTTATTTGAATTGGTGCATTAAAAGTACATTATCAGATTATGAGATTATGCCTGTTAAATTTAAGTGTTTGTGTGATTGATGTGAATCAAATTAAAAAATAAAAATAATATATATACACTCCTCTCAACGCCAACTCCTCTCATTTCACAACAACACTCACAAAATCACTTACAAACACAGCGTTTCTGGCAGCACAAATGATCCATGAGCCATCGGCTGACCAAGTGCTGCATTTCACGATGGCTTTTATTTCATCGTCACTCTCTGGGAAAAAACTATTGACATCAATTGATTTCCACTCGTTCGCAGATGACACCTCAAACAGCTGACAGATACAAAAGACAACAGTGCAAGAAACACAGATAAGAGAACACCTGTACTGACCAAAGATGATCCAGCAGTTTGACACTCTTATAAATGTGAATGTAAAAAAATAGATGAGGTTTTATATAGGTATTCTATATAAAAATGGTTTAATTCTATAATAAATGCATTAAAATTCAAACATAAAAAAACATGCATTAAATAAGCAAGCAAATTAATTAAATACAATAAATGGGCAAGTAAAACAGCTAGCCAATAAATAAATCAAAGCAAAGAAAGAGTCAAGCAACCTTCAAGGTGCCGTCACTGGATGAAGTGGCGAGGTAGGCATCGTTAGGAGAAAAGCAACAGTGATTGACAGGTTCCATGTGTCCAAACATAGTGTTCTGAGAAGTCGGCTTGTTGGGATTCCATAGCTGCAAGAAAAACGAAGACGGAAAGAAATGAAAGAGGGCAAAAGGGTAAGACGAATAGAAGAAAGGGATAACGTATGCTTTTGTGTAGGGATCTTGATCATTCTGTCAGGGTCTATTGAACAGGACAGCCTATATAAGAGAAGATCATATTTAGTCTGCAGGAAATGCTGTTACATTCTCCAAATCTCATTTCAGGGCGTTTCTTTCACTCCTCATGCCGAGATATTTCACGAAATGCCCCTTTTGTGCTCACGCCTCCACCGGGGGGGTGCTCTCATTACGTTTTTTGACACCGTGCTTGCTCACTCTCCGTTTTCGCACCCTCAGATGAATACAGCTCAACTGCAGACTCCTGCTGTCACACTCCTACGGATCTCCCACAATTCGCAAATTTCACAAGCTGTAAAATTACACGGCTGCCCCATTCCCCTCCTCTGCTGTTCTGAGCGAGCGTCCTACCAGCTGTCATTCTCATTACTCATGTTCACCAAATCTGCCTCTAAATGTGGAAAGAGGAAATGGAGGGCGCGGGGGAAAAAAAAAAAAAAAGTGCAGATGAGAATTATCAAACTCTTTGGAGCGCCACTACTACACACCTGCTTTCTGCACCGTTATGCACTGGCCATTCTATTAAGCTGATTTTATTAAAGAATTTCAAAAATAGCCATGAATTCACAAGCTATCAGTCTGAATCATTCTGAATTGAAATCTATTGAAATAACTTGGTAACTTACTGAGCAAATTGTGACTCAAAAGGAATATGCCAAGTGTTACACAAAATTAGTTAATTAGAATATAATTACTTACCGAGTACTCATACAACAATGTACTTAAAAGTTAACGTAATGAATAAAAAATAGCTCCTAAAATAGCGAAAATGAAAACAATTATAAATCAAACAACAAATTATAATACTAAACTACTACAAATTCTAACACTTCAGAAGTAAAAATATTAAGGGGAAAAAAAAAACCTTAAAAGGGGTCATCAGATGCGACATGCACTTTTACAAGCTGTGTGAACTGAAATGTGTGTTGGCAGTGTGTGTACACAACCACCCTATAATGATAAAGATCCACCCAGTGTTTTTTTTTTTTATCTCGTTAAATCATTTACCTTTTCTCAAATCGAGCCGATCTCAGATGCCTGTCTGTGTGGCCCCTCTCATGATAGTTTGATTGACAGTAGCGTTTCAGCACAGACTGGACTGGTGTCTTACCTTAGACCCGCCCTGAGTGAGCTGTCATCAGTCTGCCATTGTTTCACCGCCGGAGCAGATGTAGAATGTCTAAGCGATTGAGGTGTTTTGTTGTTGGATGTAATAAATAACAATTACTCCCGACATCTGAGCCGCTGAAGACGCAGTGGATTACGTTTGTTTTTGAAGGGAATGTGCCCTCGAACTACCTAAATGAGTCTATAGACAGAACCGTTTTTGACAGGGTAAAAACGGTGTTTTACACTAGCATTGAGAAATTTTAACCAAACTATGTTACAGACTTTTCATTAAGACTTCATTCATTTCATTCAACTTGTGGAAAATGGGCATCCGATGACCCCTTTTAACTAGTAAAAATTCGAATAATTCTAAAAATTCAAAAAGGAAAAAAAAACCTATCCTACTATTCACTACTAAAAAAATTACATTTTAAAAAGTAAAAATTTCAAACTCTAAAAACACCTCACCTTAGTGTTGGTGAATTTGTCGTTTGAGCAGGTGGCCAGCAGGACACGTCGGCCTGTGTTGGTGAACTGGCAGTGGTTTATCTGCTCCTCGTGTTCCTCCCCAAACTCTCTGATAAGAGTACCTTGCTCAACACTCCACAACTACAACACACAAAACAAACCTCATTCTCCTGACTGACTTATGATCAATGTTCACAGAACTTTACCACATAATGACAGTATAGAGTCTGATGTCTGTCAAGCAACAAAAACGATAAGAAACCGTTTACACATTTGTAACAGAAAAAATCTGGAACAAACTATTGCCCTACAGAAACATACTGACCAACAAATAAAGTGGCCACAGAGACAGACACACTAACCTTAACCTTCCTGTCACTGGAGCAGGTTGCAATGTAACGGTCATCTGGAGAAAAGGCACAGCACAGAATGTCTTCGTCATGAGCCTGAAGCTCCAGAAGTTTCTCTCCAGAGGTTGTTTTAAACACCTGTTGAGTACAAAAAGACAAATTTGGCCATCACATAATACTGCACAGTGTCGAGACGAACAGTAGGACACAAGTTGATATTTACCCGCAGCGCCTTGTTAGCCCCACAAGAGGCGATTTTACTCCCATCTTTGGAGAAGCCAGCATAGTAGACAGACCCCTGGTGAGGATGCATAACCAGCCGAGACAAACTGTCCTGATTATTTTTGTTCCTAATAAGTCAAAACACTTTCAATCAAAATCGATCTGTTTTCAATCTGATCTACTACATGAAAGTTACTGTGTGAGGCAGTGAGATACATACACCCAGTCCATATAGAGCTGCCCTCTGCTGGCCCTCTTCTGCGCCTGCATCAAAGCCTGTCTGTAAACCTCAGAACACGCGGGCTGAGACAGAGCCAACTGCACTACGTCAGGAAACGGCTTCTGCTCCAAATGATGTCCGTTTAAAGACAGGAATTCCTGAAACTGCAGTCTCACCTCACTGTTCTGTGTGAAAACACCACAATTTATCATTAAACCGAACAGGAGGAGGTGTGTTATTGTGGCTAAGATCATGACTGATTTTATCAGCAATAAAATGTTCACATAGTAACTATGTGAAAACTAAAGTTTTTCTTAGTTTTAAGTTAATTTTTAGAACCCATTTAAAATGTATCAGACTTAAATATACAAAAATATACATATATAAATAGCAAAAATTAAGTTACAAATAAACGCTTTTAAAAACAAGCCATTATCATAAGCATGTATATCACAAGTTGTCCAGACTGAGGCACAACAATCAAAAAGTGACACTTGGCAATCTGGCCTGTTTACACAAACTGTATTCCATGCCAATTTTATGTAAATACTTTGAGCAGTCTAAACTGATTAAGACTTGCAATTGTAAGGAATATCAATCGAAATTAAGACTCAACAGTATAAATACCTCTTTGTCTAGTATTTCACCATATTCTACATAGTCGTTGATAAGATGGGCAGATCCCATAAACTGAGCTTTCTCTTTGACCCAGTCCAAGGAAAACATCAGTGAATAAAGCTCCTGAAATGAGAACTGAATGTTCATTATGTTTCAGGAATCATTAGAAGATTCTACATATGAAATATTAGGCCATACTGTAACATTACCTTAGACAGTCCTGCTTTAGCCATGTGGTACGGGAGGAAGCGGTACCAATATGAACAGTCTATATCTCCAGAGCTGGGTGGCCTTTCATTATAAAACTGCTGGTATTGACGGACCAGCTTTTTATGCAGTTCCTACGGGAAACATGACAATTCAGACTCTGGTGGTCTCTCTTAAAAAGAGATGCAACATAACTCACAGCAATTTGATCACGATTCTGTTCAATGAGAAAGTCCAGTTGCAGATCATGAAGGTAATAGTGGTATGGTCGCTGGTTACAGTCTCGAAACAGCAGAGATTTATTCACCAACTCCTGTAGGACATCCTCCACTTCCTCCAACTCCAGATCCCACAGCACTGACAGAACCTGCACACCAAAACAAAATCCAACAAAAAGACTAGTTTACATGGAAAAAAAGCCATTTACAAAAATCCATCCTTATGTCACATTTGCAAGTATAATAAAACGTTAAGTATTTTAATGGTATTGATTCTGTATCTAGCACTACTTTAGTAGTTGGCAACAGATTTTCAGCCTGACCTTAGCAGGCACTTTGACGTCGTTCTGCATGATGCTCAGGTCTCTGTACAGATCTCTGTGTTCAGGCTCCAAAACCTGCAGGCTGGCATCCATGGCCTGGTCCAGAGCTTCATAGTCATAGGACGATGACTTGCGGATCCGCTTGAACTGCTTCTTCTGAAGCTGTCGCAGGTAGTAGCTCCAGCGATCAGGGAACTCCCTCAATAAAGCTCCAATGAGAGAAACAACAAGAGGAGAACCTAACAGGAGAAACGTTTACAATGGTCTTATGTGTAAAAGGACTACACTAATGGTACTTCATTACTATAACCATAGTATTAAGTACTATTACTCCATTGCTATTCAAAATGCTGTCTTTAGGGTGCTTGGTCACGTTTCATCATGTTTCGAGGTTCTGGTTCATTTTTGCATAGAGTGATTCGTACCTTTACATTCGCTCACGATGCTACGGGCCTGTTCTGGAAGTTTCTGTGGTTTCCCGTTAACATACAAAGCAAGAATTTCCAGGCCTTTCTCCTCATCTAGACCACTTTCAACAGGCACTTCAAAGCTTGTACCTACAAACAGAGAGGCACACACACACAAACCCTTGTATTTCAATGAAATTAGGATGTTAAATTAATTATGCAAGATAACCACAACAATATAGAGAAAGGAACATTTCTCTCATAAGCTCAGCTGAAAATAGCTTATCTCCAAGACCAGCTGCTCGCCATTATCAGAGTTTTATGTAACGTCATTTAGTTCAGGATTTGCCTTGGATTTTTTTTTCAGATTCAAGCAGGCACAAGTTCCACCTAGACACGGACTAACCTAGACTTTTATTTAGGAATAACCACTCTGTGTAGTTGGCCCAGAACCCATCTACGCAATGCAAACTGGATGCACTAAAATGAACTACTCACCGCTTACAGAGTCAGCCAGACCTCGATTGCGAGTGGTCAGAAGAACTCTGCACTGGATATCAAAGGACCTGAGAGTAGAGCTGTCCCAGACGTCATCCAGAATCAGCAGGGACCTGATGAACATAAGAGAAAGTGGCTGATTTCAGTGGACTTGTATGTTCTGAGTCAGTGGTTCTCAACCTTTTTTTCCACCGGGCCGCACTATGGTCCAAGTGCAAGTCTCGTTACGTCAGCAATACAAACCAACCTGATTTATAATATTATAGCCTAAATATTATGATATTTAATCGATTACATTCATTGAAATAAATAAATAATTCTACTCCCCATAAATAACACCCAATTTTGTGAAATTCGGCTCGAAAGGAGTAACAGCACAATCATAGGCGGAGTTTCACTTTTATGGGGTGGGGGGCCCCCACTGGCAGACGAGCCACGAGCACTTTTTTTTATATGTTCTACATTTCATGTATTTATGTAACACATTCTACATTAAAAAAATAAATTTAGAATGAACAATAACTGCTGTACAAAGAGCAAAAAAAATTTAATAAAAAAAAAAACATACCTAATGCAGAAAAGCCGCCTCTTTTTCCGAATTGCGTAGATGACCACTATCTTTCTTTCATCTCTTCTGATAAATTTTCAGTCAAATCGTTTTCTGTGTGCTAGATCAGAGCTAGAGCCCTGCTTTACGCCCCTCGGGCTGGGCTTCGGGCCCACGTCCCGAAGCCCACGTCATAGTTCAGACGCGGGCAGGTCCTCGGGCCTGTTTTAGGCTTCTCCTTATTTTTATATTTTAGAC